ATATATAATATTTCACAATTCGCATATAATACCAAATAAGAACCAAGTAACATACAACCTATACAACACAATTAACACATAGGAATAGTAACCTATATAACCCAAGTAAATTAACAATAATATTTATTTAAACCTTCAGAAATAACCATACCAATACACATATTGAGGCATTAAAACACACAAACCATATAAACCCCCTTAAAGAATACCCCTAGCTATATAGTTCTTAACACAATGACAACCTCAAAATAGGGAGTGCGCTCAGCACCTCCCCGAGGGGTTTCCCTGCAGCCCCTCCCCTTTAGGGTCCTGGGATGTGGACACACCCCTCCCACGGGAGGTTGGAGGTGGCAGCCCCGCCTCCCCTGTGTCAGCCTCCCCTGTGGGGCCCGCTTCCCCAGTAACTCGCACTTCCTCTCTGGAGAAGTCAAGGCTCGTCCCCTGGTGGCTGATCCCACAAGAGCCTCTCCCCAGCAGCGCCTTCGGCTCTTCTCGTCGGCCTGGCACCCTGCCCTGGGCACCCAGGGCTTGCTCTCTCTTGTGGGAGCCAAGCCCTTGCAGGCTCCGACTCTCCAGTCTCGCAGTGGGGGTTCTTCCCTTTCCTGGGCCCTGCTTTGGGCATCAGGGCTCTTTTAGGTAAAGGTGGAGCTGCACTGCGAGGCTCCAGTCACTCGGCCTAGGGCCGGGGCTAACTTGAGCAGCTGCGAGCTGTTTCCAAGGCGGTTCTCCATGCGCCGACCCGGGTGAGGTCCAAGCAGCCATGACCTGCTCCCAGGGCCACCTCTCCTTGTGTCAGTTCGCACGCTGCTGAAGCTCAAACAGGGTCCTGAGGACATCTGTCTCTGAAGCTCCTCTATCCTCGCTGACCCTCGTTGTCTCTCCCAGTGTACCGAGCACACTCCCATTTTATACTCTTCAGAGGCTCCACCCCCCAAGTTCTCTGGACCTGGATGGTGCAGTTCCAATTCAGATCCAGCTGCTCTTTGCCCCCTCCCTTTGGAAAAGGGCAGGGCATTGCTTCCCTTGTGCTGCCTCTGGATTGGTGAGCAGGCTCCACCAATCAAACAGCAAACCCTTGAGCCTGGGGCTCAACCCCAGCCCCGAAAGGGTAATCCTGCTACAAAAGATACCTTGTTTGGACATGGCATGAGTGTGGTAATGGGGGTAGTGGGTCTGTGGGTGGCGGGGCAAGCTGGCTAGAATGGGGGAGTGCTCCATGAGGTGGTCCACCAGAGCCTCACCCCTGGTGTCCTGGCCCCTGCTGGCAGTTGCATGGCTCGCCTGGGTCCTTGCTGCCACAGCTCGTGTTTCCACTGCCACACTGCCTCTGTCCACCACACCTTCTCTGCCCAGGCCTTGCAGAACAACTCTCCCTGGGCCTTGTATTTATCACGCAGCACACAGGCTGCACAAATTACCGGTGGGGGGAGATTGTTCTTGGCCACTCTGAAAGGGCAGTGAGGGACTGCCAGTGGCCCTTGAGGTGGCTGAAGGTGCACTCAGCAAAGGCATGTGTTCATCCCAGGTACTGATTAAAGTGGGCCTGGCAGGGGGTCTAGGTGGCCAGTGTAGGGCCTTATCAGCCAGGGCAGGAGCAGGTACCCAGGGTTCCCAATGAGCAGGGGTGGGATGACAATGGTGCCCAGCTGCAGATCCTCCACTTCCAGTGCAATGTACCTGCTCTCCACCAGCGCAGTGAGTCTGGAGTTTCTGAGCACGTGGGTATTGTGCATGCTGCCCATCCAGCTGGCACTTGCATTTATGAAGGTCTCCCAGTGGTCTAAAAGTGCCTGCAGGACCAGGGAGTGGAACCCCCTGCAACTATAGTAGGGTCAGTCTCCGTGGGGTGGGCAGGTCACCAAGATGTGGGTGCTGTCCAGGGCTCCGATACACTGGGGGAACCCCAGTGTATGGAACTCTGCCACCACTGCTTGGAGGTCGTGGACACAGAGGACAGTGTCCACCAGCATGTCCTGGAAGGCACTACTCGCCTCCAGGATGGCATCCTCTGCAGTGGCCTTGTCCACGCCGAACAAGTGCCCCATATAGTGCAGGCTGGCAGGTGTGGCTACCTTGAGCAGTGCCAGGGCCAGGTGGGTGTTGATGGGGAGGGCTGGGTTCCTGGCATTCCAGGTGGGGCCAGAACTGGTGGATCAGGTCCACGAAGGTGGCCCAGGTCATCTGAAAGGATGCACGAAAAGGTGTCCACCAGCTTTTTATCCTGCTTCTGCTGCACCAGGTGGTGCCACCACTGTTGGCTGGAGCAGTGAGCCCAGAGGTGGTGGGGCTGGAGGCCCAGGAGGGCGATGGCAGTTTTGGCAGTGGCCTCCTGGAGACCCTCACTGGCATTGCTGGTGACAGAAGCTGCATGGTGGCAGGAGCCCTGGGAGGGTGCATGGCAGGTAGGCAGGTGGTTGCTGCATGTGAGGGAGCCAGGCGGGATGAGACGGCTGTGGGTCAGGCAACCATGAGAGCAGCTGGCCAGCAAGGTGACCAAGGAGGCAAGCAGGATTGGGGAGCCCTGTTCCTCACTGCCAGGGCCAGGGGCTGGGGCAACCATATCACAGAGTCACAGTGGGCACAAACACAGCTGCTGTGTGTTGCCTCTGTGCATGCCACACTGCTCCTCTCAGCACAGGAACTGGATGCCCATAGAGCAAAGAGTGGGGCTAGGTTTTAAAGATGGCTGCCAAGTGCTAGTGGCTGGGGCTGGCTTCAAACATGGCTGCCAAGTGCTGGCAGCTGGGGTCAGGGGCTGGAGCTCTCTCTGGTGGCCACAGGGGAACATGGCAGTCACAGAACATAATCCACTTGCCTGTGCACAGATGTCCCTGACCCAGCAGTGACCATTATTTATGTTCCAGTTCTCCTGTGCTCTTAGCCCTGTTTCTGACCCAAGTAATCTGTCATGAGGACTGTGGTCTGGGAAGAGAGCGTGTAGTTACTGTGCTCTTGCAGCCCCCAGCTATAGAAACATTATCTACACATGCATTAATGTGCTTTTACTAATGCACATTAAATTTAGTATCTTCAATATGAGGTACTAAATAAATGCACATTAAGCACAAGCACGTGCTTTTTCATTGACAACGCACATTCTAATGCCTATTCTACCAAGCATTACTGTATTATCACAGTTTTTTACGTGCCACTGTAATGCACAGTAGACTAGGCTACTGTGCGTTAAAGTACACCTGTAGATGCATCCTGTAGGTCATAAGTAGCACAGTATTTCTCAGTGGGTGTATCTCATTTACTGCATAATAAGCATTTCCTGAGAGCGCATCTACACGTGCTCCTGTCGGGAGTAAATTTACTCCCAATGGGAACAGTTCAGAGCAGAGAGATTCCTGCCGTGTTCTGCTACCATGTGGCAGCCAATAGGAGCTCTAGGCTCCCCTGGGTGCTAGCCCCAGGCTGGCAGCAGTTACTGGGGTCAGGCCTGGAGTTGGGGGAGCTGTCCTGCCTCTGGGGCAGCTCCCTCCCACTCTGCACCCCTGCCCCCATCAGCTGCCTGCTCTCCAACCCCAGCTCTGATCTTGGAGTAGGAGCTAGGACAATTTCCCTGCCCCTACAGCAGTTAGCTGTTGGCCCTGGCTCTGATCTCTGAGCCGGGGCCCAGGAGCTACCTGCTGCAGGGGCAGGGGACTTGTCAGGTAGTAGAAAACTGTGCATTAGCCTACTTTAATATGCAGTAGATGCAGCACATGGTTATATGGTGACACTTTACTGGGTATGTCTACATGTTCATTAATGCACCATAGTTACTACGCATTAAGTTTAGTATTTGGATAACCAAGTACTAAATCAATGTGCAGTAACGCATGCTATTGAACAGTAGTACCAGTGCATGGTTTGTTTGTTTTTTTTCAGATGTTAACTACACAGTAGCTTAATACTACTGTGCAGTAGCATATTAGCATGGTTTTTACCTGGCATACTATTGCACAGTGTTGTTAGGCTACTGCGCAGCTAGCATCTCTTGTAGACGCACCCAGTCTTAAATGCTAGAGTGCAGGATTTTTATATAAATAAAAACAGGGATTAGAACACATGTTTTGGAGTTGGATTTTAATGCACGTGTAGGCTAATCCAAATGTGCAGATAAAACTGCACTTTCAAAATGGTTTCATTTACTGCACAGTAAATTAGGCTACTGCACAGTTAGCTAGTACCTGTAAGGTACTAAATGAACTGCACAGGGTCCATCTCTATATGTGACACTGACTGTGCAGTCATTTAATACTTGCATACACAAGTGCTAAATGAGTGCACAGTAACCTGAGTTACTGCACAGTAGCACCAACAGCTTTTAGGTGACACTGACAGTGCATTAGCTTGTTATTACCATGCAGTAGCCATACCTCATGCTTTATGCTAGGTGATGCTGTTGTGCAGTAGTAACAAGCTCCTATATAGTAACACTTCCATAGGCACTGATCAGAAGCAAATTTGTTCCTGCTCAGCCTAGGCAGTAGGGGGCGACAGGGAACAGGGAGCTCTCTGCCCCCTGTCCTGCCTCCCAGCTCCCTGCATGGAGCTGGCAGCTCCAGAAGGTGAGAGGGGCCTGGGAACCAGCCCTCACCCACCCCCTGGAGCAGCTTCTGCGCAGTATTTTACTGTGCAGTAAGTCTACTGCAAATTAATAGCATGTATAGACACATTCAATAGGAATTAATTAGTCCAAAACTGCTAGCAGACTGGGCTTTAAATTAGTAGTGTTTAAATTGGCTCTCAGCCATTATGTCACTTGTTCACAAATAAACTGAAAATCAAATAATATTCTCAAAATGATTTTTCTCCAGGGTCTAATTTTAGACCCAAATTAGAACATTTGAGTCTGCTTTATGTCAATTCATTTACTGGAAAATCTCACAAAATGGAAAAGCTTTCCTTTGTTCCAGACTCTATTATAGTAATTCAGTAAAAATGTGCCCACTGACTATCAATTGGCATTAGATCATTTCATAATTTATATAAATTAAAAACATGCTTTGTTTTGCACAAGCAGAACTGGATGTCAGTCGAGGCTTGAGCAGAGAGAGACTTCGCTTGTTCCATTATATTAGTTCTGGTGCCATTGTTAAGATAGCTGAGTTTCCACCCCTAGCAGGAGGTGAGTCTCTTATTGTTATGCATGAAGGGTGCATCAGATCCTTCCCAAAACTCCTAGCACTTCCTCTCTGGATGACATCCTGGCACTTTGAAGTCAAAGGGAACTTTTGACACGCATCTAGTTAATTTACAGTTAGAATTTACAAATACGTTACATAATTAATTGGAGTGAATAGGTCCTTAGGAAATACAAGCTTGCCAACAACCAGATGAGAGTAATTTTTAGACAGGTTTCCATGCTGTATGTTTCTACTGGTGAACTTTTACAATGCTAACTTTAAACAGAGGGAAGGAATTTCCATAAAGACACAGTGCTTAGGACAAGCCTAAATAGGCAATGCACTTTGGCCTATGAGCTGACCTGTAGTAAGTCCGGAGGCTATGTGCAAAATTCAGCAGAGGAACTTTGTATGCTACAGCCAATGATGCAGAGACACAGGTGTGGAGTAGTTGTCCATACGCTGTGTGAGCTGTGCCAGTTGCACATCATTGACCCCTGCATTCTGCTTATCCAGTCTGTTTTCTCTTAAAAGCTATGGAATAACAAAATATGATGTGGGAAGCATGATATCACCTGTAGCCTTCTCATGCAAACTCCAGGCACAGCAAACTTGGCTGCAGCATCCACTTAAAGTAATGCCTATTACTCCAGTGCACTGATGTGTGTGTGTGTGTGTGTGTGTGTGTGTGTGTGTGTGTAGTTTCGCTTCCTTCTTGAAAGGCATTGATTTCAGTGGAAGTTAAGGACACCCAACAGTAGGATCAGGCCCTATGCCAAGTTGGACAAGCTATTTAATCATGTGGTGCCTTACTTTACCTGCGTGAGTAGCGGTGGGTCCAGCAGTTCAGTAAATATGTGCTTGTAAAGTACTTTCAGGTGCTCACATGAAGGCTGCCACTGATTGGCTGTAAGTACAAGTTGTTATTGTTGTTAGAACTTTATAAACACATTTGATGAAAGCCCTATCTTTTGCATGGTGATTAGGCCTGTGCGAAGCGGCTAGTATTTGCTTCAGATTCGGGTTCAGCCAGGCCAGGCCCATCCCCCGCCCCTCTCCCAGCCCAGCAATGGCTGCCCCTCCTGCCTGCCCCAGCTCCCGAGCTTGGGGGAATCCCCGCTTTAAGAACCCCCCCCCCCCCCAAAAACGCCCAAACTCACCGCTCCTGCCAGCGGGGGGGTGATCCCCTCTGCCCCCCATTGCCCCGTGCCACGTGTGGAGCTCTGTTCGAGCCCCCCAAGCCACTGAAGGAGTGATGAGTCCTGGGGCTTTTCTTCGTTTGTTTTTTTTTCTTAAAGGGCCAGAGCTGACCCAGGCGGGGCACCCAAGGAGGGGCTGGGGGAGCAGGGGCAGGTTGGGGGGCTTGTGGAAGAGCCCCCCATGCAGTGTAGGGCAGTGGGGGGCAGCAGGGATTGTCCCCCTGCCCAGGAGCACCCGGTGAGCACTGTGGCTTTTCTTTAAAGTACCGAGCTGGGGCGG